CTAGGTTGGTTTGAAACATGTTTTTTTCATTTCCGAGACCACTACCCTCCCTTCGATTAAGCAGTCGCTCGCGAATTTGAGTTTTCTTGTGGACCAAGATTAGCCTTATTTTGAGCTTTTAAATAGGGAATGTTTTTCCCAAGTTATGGTATCTCTTTTGTGAATTGAATCCTTGCCTCTTACACCTTAGAGATCACTCTAACCCTAGATACCTAAACACAAGGCTACCATCTAGAGATTCTAACCAACCTCACAACTTGGTGTTGAAGATCTTGATCGATTGAAGATCAAAACTATTGGTGTGTGTATTCCGAGGATATTTGGTGCACCCAAGATCACTCGAGGCCTAGAGGATCCTCACGGAGGTGAAACCAAGCGTAGCTACACATAAAGTCGAAGAAGCTCTTCGACGGAGAGACTTACTGAAGGAAGTGAACATCTAACCATGGTATTAGTTGAGGTATAAAACTCAAATACTTATAAACTAATTTTGGGGTAATGGATTAGGCTTTGGTGAACTTGTAAAGGTTCCTCGTGGTTTTTTTTAAGAAGGATTTCTGTGTCAATAAATTGATTGTGTTCTTATCATATTTTCATACACACACGCACTGTATTTTATTGAATGAATGTTTGGTACTAAATCATTCATAGTTGTGCATCCTAGGGTTTGGGCCATTGAATTGGGATCACCATGTGAGATTAAGTGTTAATCAATAAATTGATAAAATCAATACATCAATCTACATGAGTATTTTAGGAAGTGGTGGTTAAAAAGGAATTCTCACTGTTAATTGACTAATCATTGTAATAAGAGGTAATTATAATAGTAATAGGTTTTAATTTGTGATTGTTCAAGGTTAAAATTGAAAAATCTATCCACCCCCTTCTAGATAGTGTCGTGTGCATCATGTATATAATTGTGAGGAAAAATCTTTATTGTTTCTCTCCCTCCTAGAACAACAACTATTAATCAAGCTCACCCCACTGAATAACCATACTAAATAAATTTTACAAAATACTTATTACACGTTTTACTTTTGTGATGAAAATATGTTTTTGCTTAAACCAACCGTTACTTAATACTGTTCAAAAAAAAAAACCGTTACTTAATAGTACCTTAGTGTTGAACCCATTTTACTATTGGATGCGATTGCATGTCTTGATAAGAAAAAAAGAGGTTGAGTTAGGGAATCTAGAAAACTTTAATGAACATGGATAAAATAAGGAATTAAACGTGGACAAGAATACTATTCATTCAAAATAGGTAAGACTAATGTTATGTTTGGTAGGATAGATGAGAAAATAGAACGATAAAAAATGGGAGTGATACACTTTCTATCATTCAATGAAGGAATCCTTTTTTCTCGCCTTTGCGTTTAGTACAACGGATGGAAAGTAAAAATGATATTTTTTTTTTTTTTTGGTATTTGATAGGATGTAAAAGTAGGATAGAAATAGTATAGATAAATGTTTTGTCATTATATTTACATAAGAAATTAGGGCTAATCTCAACTTGCACTCTGAAAAATCACTCGAATATCAATTTTTACTCTCAAAGTTCAAAAATATCAATTTACATCTTAAAAGACATTAATATGCGTTGGGGGTTAACTGCCATCTATTTTGCCGTTAAAAAGTTTGGTATAATTACAAATTGTACCTTCAAATTTTAAATATTTCATATTTATGATTAAAAAAACATTCATATATTAATACTCATTAAATACCTCTCAATTGTGTTGTATCATGTTATCTTGTGTCATGTCGTATCATTTTTGTGTTATGTTCAAATCGATAAAAAAATATTTTTAACACAAAATATTTTTTGTCAAGTCAATTGCGTTATGTCATATATTTCACATTTACGACAATTTATATAATACTATTTAATATTTTTTTAAAATTATAAAAAATACCTATTTTTTGCCTATCATACTCATTAAATAATTATTTTTTATCTACAGTTGTATTATTCATATTTAACTTTAATTTGATCAAACAGTCATAATATCCGTGTCTAACTATAAACAAAAAATAACTATTTAACATGAATTGTAAATAAAAAAATAGGTATTTTATAATTTTTTAAAATTTAAAAAAAATATTTTTATTGGCTCGAACATGATACAAAAATATTAAGACACAATACAATTGAGAGATATTTAACAAACATTAATGGAGGAAATTCTTTTTGGATCATTAATATAAAATATTTAAACTTTAAAGGTGTAATTTATAATTAGTACAACCATTTTTAGCCATAAAAAAGGTTGGCAGTTAATTTTAGGTGCATATTAGTACAAATTTATGTCTTTGAGAATGTAAATTGATATTTTTAAACTTTGAATGTGCAAATTGATATTCAAGTGATCATTCAAGGTGCAAGTTGAGAGATAAATAACATATATTTTAGTACATATAAATAACTTTACTTCCACTTTTCTTCTCAATTTTAGAAGGATCAGTTTTATTAAATTAGAAGAAAAATTAATAAATTCACTTTTTCATCATATCTATTTTCTTTTCTTATTAAATATAATATTTTATCTATCTTTTCAACTTTATATCATTTTTATTTTTCATCTTTTCATTTTTCATCATACCAAACAAAGCATAAGGATTTGATAATAATGATCCAATTCATTTTGATGTTTGCTTAGCTGTTATTTATGTCATTGTATTAATATTAAATTGATCAAAATTCCCACATTAGTTTCATTTTTAATATATTAGAATCAAATTTCTATCTTCTAGATGGTACTAAAATCAACTGTTTCACTTCCTTTAATATCCATTCAGTTACATCATTTCTTTTATGCAATGTAATCGATAAGAAATTATTAAATTTGACAAAAAAAAAATTTTTTTTTTTTGTTTTGAGTGAAGTGACTGAAATGGACTAGAATTAAAATATAGGGTTCTTTGAAAGTTAGTACACCTAATTAGACTTATTTGTCAAAAAGTACATAAACTAAAATATTTTGAAAAAAAATACACAGCTGAGTTACAAAGACATAGATGTCTATTTTATGGTCAATTCAAAATCTTTTATCTTTAATGCACATTGATTCATGTTTATTTGCTAATACATATAAATACGTATTTAATGCACCTTAATTCATGTGTATTTGTTAATACATGTAAATATGTGTATATATATATATATATATATATATATATATATATATATATATATATATATATATATATATATATATATTTGTTTAAATTTTTTATTTAAATTTTGAATTATCTTTAATACACCTTGATTCATGCGTATTTTTTTTTTTTTGGAAAGTGATTTTGTTTTCAAATTATATTTAATGCACCTTAATTCAAACGTTTTTTTTTTTTTTGAAAAATGATTTTATTTTCAAATTAATTTAATATTCAAATAATGTAATAGTGTAATAATAACAGTGTAACAACTACACTGTAACAAAAACAGTATTTAGTAGTTTTGTGTATGTCGTAACAAATTTAAAACGGAGATGGACTATTTTTTAAATGAAATTATATGAAACTATATGTTTGACAAATTGTAATAGTACAATATTTTGTATAAATATCTTGTTACACTGTTATTGTTATATTGTTACACTGTTACGTTTTTATTATTACACTGTTATTGTTATATTATTATTGTTACACTATTCAGATATTAAATTAATTTAAAAATAAAATCACTTTTCAAAAAAAAACATACAGGTGCATTAAAAGATAATTCAAAATTTAGATAAGAGATTTAACAATAAGTATATAATGCAGGAATCAATGTGCATGTGCATTAAAATATAATTTATATACATATACGTTTTTATATATACATGAATACAAATTTTGAAATTCAAATAATTATATATATACATATTTATATATATAGAGAGAGATATACCTTTTTATGTATAAATGTATATATATATATATATATATATATATATGTATTAAAGTTCTTCCATAAAACTATGAGATATTTAATGCACTATTTTTTTAAAAAAAATTGTGTATTAAATACAAATAGATTAATGGAGGGCAAAAATATCATAAAAAAATTAATAAAATTTAAATAATTTACTTAGATACAAATAAGTATCAAAATTAAGAATTTATTTAAATTTTTTTTTATCTATTTTTTTATAATTAAATCTAATTTAGTGTAACTCTTTTAAATTTTTCGTAAAATATTAAACATCCAGGTCCTCGTTGTGTTATCTTCGGCCCACAATTTTGGACTAATTGTGGCCCCATATCCCCATTGCCCACAATTTGATCAACTATGGCAGGCATATTGTAAGAATTTTCTTCGATCGAGAACATGAAAAAATAGCTTGCAAGAAAAAGGAACAATAGACAGTGTGACCTGCAAGATACCACCAAACAAGTCAAATTGGTACCAACAGAAGGTCCCACGTATTGGCTGTATGAGTGATGATTGATCATGATCATCCAAGTACAAGTATTATCGATTTGATTTTGACTATATTTATCACCTATCATAAAATTTACCTGAATGCTTAATATTTGAATTTGTTGTCAATTAATTAAACATTGAAGGAATCAAATCATGTCCGAATCCAAATCTCAAGTAGTGTAATAGATTTGTTCTAGTTTCTAGGAATCATCCTAGAAAGAGAACACCTTAACCGTCTTCTTTCCTTTAAACTTCAACGGAATGTCCTGATGGTCTTTAAAATTTTAAAATTATAAAATTATTTTATTATTATATAAAAATGAGTGTTATTGTGTAATAAATTATAAGATCATAAATAAAAAATTATTATCATACTTTTATATATAAAAAAAATATTTGTTAATAAAATTAATTTATAATTCTTTCATATAATAAAAAACACATTAAAATCAATTATTAGTGACAATAATTATAAATTACACGGTCTAATTTTAACACTTGTGGCATGCTGATTATGCCATCACATGATTATGCCATGCTGATGACGTGATTCAAACAAGCGTTCCCGACATCGCTCACAACAAGCAATCCAACGGTTGAAATACAATGTAGAGAGAGAGAGAGATAGAGCAACAACCGAGATAAGAATATATACCGAAGTCCATACACACTACAGGGGTAAAGCGGCTTTCTGAGTTAACGATTGCCATCACTTTTATCAGTGGAATGGAGGGAGAGAATAAGAGGAAGAGGACGGCCGAGAACGGCCAGGTTAACTGCATCAGTGAGGGGGAAAAGGAGGAGAGAGAATTGGAAGGAGAGAAGCCGGAGGCGGCACCGACAGAGGAGGAGGTTGACGAGTTCTTTGCGATTCTGCGGAGGATGCACGTGGCTGTGAAATACTTCGAGAAGGGAAACACCGGCAACGGTAACGGCGATGGACGCAAGTTAACGGAGATGTTAGCGACGGAAATTGACGACGTACAAATGAATGACAAGAACGTTGACGGGGGTTCAGTGAACGGTCTTTTAGATCTGAACGCCGTTCCCGAGGACGAGAGCAATAGTGTTTAAGGCGACTGGCCAAAAATGCCCATGTGATACACGTTAGAGTTGGATCTTGTGGGCATTTACTGGAGGACTCTAATGTAAGTCGGGCAGTCTAAAAAAAATAATGATTTCTATTGTTGTTGTCTAATTTTCAAGCGAGTATATTATCAAGTGAAAGCTTCTTTTTTTGGCCGAAAGTGTAACTGTAGCTAAAGAAAAGTGTAACTTCACTTTAAAATACTAATTTTATTACTTAAAGTTACAAATTTTTGAAGGTAACTTGTTTTGGCTTTTTGGGTGTGTAGAATTTATTTTAAATTCCCCCTAATTTTTTTACCTAAAAAATTATTTCTAAATTTCAATAACTGTATTGTTACATTTCATTCTAAATTTTTTATTAGAACTTAACCTTCAAATCTTATATTTTGAATTAAAAGACAGTAAACTTAAATGTGTGTTAATTGCACGTGAAGTCTTTAAAATATGAAATTTGTTTCATTTTTATCTTTAATATTTTAATTGTATTATTTTTGTCCTAGAAGAATTAAATATGTTTATATATGGTCATTCAAACAGATAACGTTCAGATTATTAGAGAATTTTTGTCATAAACTTGTCACATAATACTTAAATATGGACAAAAAAATAATTTGAAGAACTATTGATTAAATTTTTACTCAAATTTTGGTTAAATCACTACTCAAATTGCACTTTTTTTTATCATGTCTTTCTCAATTTTGGTCAAAAATTATCTATCTTACACATTTTTTGTCAAGAGTTACCCAAATTTTGTTTAAGAGCTATCAAAATTATTTTTTATCCATGTTTAGGTATTATGTTTCAAGTTTGTAATCAAAAAATTGTTAGCAATCTGGACGTTGTCTGCTTGAAGGATCATATAAAAAATATTTATTACTTTATAGCCCAAAATGATACAATTAAAATATTATGAACTAAAATGAGACAAACCTCATATTTTGAATTGTTCCCACCGCAATTTCAAAAAATTTTATTGTTAATTTAAAATTTTTGATAAATTTTAAATTAACAATAAAACTCAACTCCGTAAAATATTTTTGTAAGGATTTCAATAAGATTTATTCAATAAAAAAAATACTTAAATTTTGTTCATGCGACTCAATCTCACAATTCTATCTCTAGTCTCGTGTTCTCTTTTTTTTTCATATGTAATGTGGACACGTCAATTTACCAACCCAATGCTCATCTAACTTCAATTATTCAAATATAATTTCTTTTTTTTAGATTTTATCGATTATTGAAGTCTAAACCCATTCTATCATACTTCATGACCCCAAAATTAAATATAGATTGGATTCAAAACGAAATTTAAAATTGAATTCAAATTTAAATTGCTTGAAATTTGATTCAAATATGTCAATAAAACACTTATTAGCCATCGGTTCACAAGTCACAACAAATTTTAGGGTTTTAAAGGGGTCGGTACCCTTTTTAGAAATTATAGGGGCAAAAAGTGCTATTTTTAAAAATATAAGTCAAAAAGTACACAACCCCTAACAAATCTTTAAAATACCTTTTTCAGTAAAATGAGAATTGATTCCTATATTTTTGCTTCCACAATCGAAATTTAAGGAATCTCAACAATTATATATAAATTTCTTCAATATCGTCGAAAATCTCATTCTTCTAAAAACTTCCATAAAACCTCATTTTGGATGTTCAAAACTTTCTGTTAATCGTTGTTGAAAAAATGATCTTTTCAAAACTTCACTATCCAAATCTTCACCTTTGTAGCAAAAGGATGGAGAAGGATGAGAGTGGTTGAATTTTTTGGAAAAGAAGTTGATAAGTCAAGAAAAATGTTGTTTCTCTCAACGTTTTATTTACTTTATTTTCCTCAATTACCTTTCTACTTCTAATGTTTGGTACTACATACACACCAAGTGTTCGATCATTTGTCAAAAAAAAAAAACCAAATAGGTTGTATACATTGTGATATGCGTTATGTCAATATTGCAGTGAGACATTGACTTGCAATAATGTGACATTGGGTTCTAGCAGTGTGAATTTGATTTGTAACGCTGTGACATTTTTTAGTAACATGATAATATTGTCTTGTAGCACTATAACATTATCGTGCGAAGCAGCAAATCATTCTCCAAATCAGAATCATCATCTTGATTATTACGATCATCTCCATTTGAGTCATCATCGTTGACATTTATCCTCACATGAACGTAATTGACATTAAGAGATCATAATGATTTTTTTTTTAAAAAAACAAGCATATGGACGACATTGTAGCAGTGTAAATTTGATTTGTAGCAGTGTGACATTTTTTAGTACCAGTGTGACATTTTCTTGTAGCACTGTAACATTATCGTGCGAGGCAGTAAATCATCTTTTGAATCAGAATCATCATCTTGATTATTAAGATTTATAAAAAAAAAAATTATATAAATATGGAAAAGACATGAATGTTTGAATAACTTAAGTTGAATGAAAGAGAAAGATATAATTTAAAATTCAAAAATAAAATTCCATTAATTTAGGAAATTGAATCCCTAATATAACTGTCATATTTGTCTCCCACTAATGAAGGAAAAAGACAATTTCGTAAGAGAAAAAATTACAACTTAGCAAAAGTGTACCTCTTCACCAAATATTTATATATAAAGGTACTTATACGCAAATATTTTATATTGAGATACTTTTACACAAATAAGTATGATAAAGTGTACCTTTTTACAATTTTTTCTAATATTTAATGATAGTTGTTCGATAATTTTTATTAACCTAATAATTTCTCCCACTAAGGACAAACCGTGGCTCCCTCCTGGGCCCTATTAATTGACTGGTTAACCAATGACAAATCGCATTCGTGGGTTTGCAAAAAAGTTTTTGGGCTGATCCAATCCTTGACCTAATGATCTGTTTAACTATTACCCAACCCATAGACCAATTAGTGAATGATTTGCGTTCACGTAAGAAACAATGGATGTAATCGTTAGTGCACGTATTAGGAGTTGTACACGTATGGAAAAACAAAATTTCGGTATTGTATCGATATTTATTATATTTGTCGATATTTTTATTATTATTGTGATATTAAAAAAATGATAAAAATAATTATCACAATAGTGATAAAAAGACTCACAAAAGTGATAAATCACTCATAAAAATGATATTTCTTTTTTGGTACCGAAGAAAAATAGTAAAAATATTTTCCACAAAAATGAAAAATATTTTTTTATTGGGTACGGTAATCAAATCCATATTCGAAGGATGATCAGATAGGCGTTCATTATTATGGAATTGTCTTTTTTTTTTGTCCTGGCTTTGTTTTCTATTTTTTAATTTTTTGTCAGATGTCCTGGCTTTGTTGAGTGTTTCAAACGCTACATTTCCTTTGTACGAGTCTGTGATATAGATATAGTATCTAATCTTATTTTCGAAGTGTTGATATCTGTTAGGTAAATGATTATCGACACTGTTTTGTCGTATATAAAAGCATTCATTCGTGCTTTTCAATTATTGAAAGAGTAGGTCATATCTTCTGTCTTGACTCTATGTTCTACAAAGACTTGGGTTATAGATAGACTTTGTATTTCTATTGAGACTACCTAATCTCATTGACCAAAAAAGACCCAAAAAAAAAAAAAGACTATCTGATCATGTATCTTTTTTGAACGGTACTTGATTAGTTATCCGCTTCAAGTAAGAAAGACATGTCAGGTAGCTAATTAAAATATGGGTTATAGGGGTGTAATTAGGATGCATCAATTCGAATTCAAACCAAAATATCCATTATTTGGATAAAGAATTCTTGAACTTGAGTTAATTTTGAACAAATAAATTTCAGTGAAATTCAATTTGGAGAATACTCAGCCCTGGCCCTTGAACTTTGAACTCTATACCCAAGTGGATGTGAAGGTAGAGTAGGTAAAGGTGTGGTGGTGATGCGGGAGGGGACAGTGATGCTGGGGGCGAGTGTCGGTGGTTGATAGTGAGTAATGGGTAATAATACCTCACATTAAGGAATGACTAATTATATATTAATGGGACTGGACATTCTTTGTAATGGGGATTACTATAAATTAAACGTCGGACTAGATATTATTTAATAATGATCGTTATATTCTACTTTTTTATTAGGGTTTTTGAAAAGTTGGTACACATTGCAACATTAATTGGGTAGGAAGTCTAGGACAAGAAACCTTTTGGCTAAAAGTCCATCTTTTGAACCAAATTTCTAATGTACCCCTAACAAACACGGTATCTGCTATCTGATTAGCCTTTAACAAAGACAATCCATCATGCATTACAAAGACTAATTGCATTTTAATTAAGTTTCAATTGTAGAAATTAATGTTGGGGTATTGTATAAGGCGTGTGCAAGCATGATGTGACAAATTCAAGGCTTTAAAGGACGGTTTAAAGTCAAAGGAGACAAGCACACGCCTTATACAATCGAATGTGGACTTCCGGACTACATTCGAATGCTGAATCACGTTCGAAGGGGACCCAAGGATCAGACAGGATCCAGCGATGCGGTTGTTAAGCGGCTGGATGTCTATTGCTGCAAGGAATCTACGTTCGAATTCTAAATCCATGTTCGTACGAGCTTAAGCCCCAGAAGATCAGAAACATCAAATCTGCACAGCAAAAATAAATGGGATTGACATTTGAATGCCAAATCTCCGTTTGATCGCCAAAGCAACGCCAGCAGCAGCCAAGCTTTCTCTAGTTTTGAATTTTTAGCAGGATTATGCTCCTTCCTTGGACTTTCAGCCTCCAAGGCTGCACATTATCTCCTCCCCTCGGGCTATAATTACCCCCCTGGCGCTCTTGTATTGGATACCTTTCGAAGATTTATTAAACATCCAAATTAGATAGCTCTCTCTCTCTCTCTCTCTCTCTCTCATTTCTCTTGTATTACTTTCATGTGCTTTCATTTATAGTTGTAATCTTTTACTTTGGAGAGGCTTCTCTCTACTCTTATTATTCTCATCTTGTTTCTTGCTTTGTCGTAGCAATAAAGAATGAGTAGTCTTTTTTTACTTTTTAGTAAAGTGTGAAGGGTGTTTGAGTATGTACTTATTGTTTCATTTATACAACATCTCTTTACTCTTAAATGGTTTATCTTTCTCTATATTTGGTTGATTGAATGACTTACAAAGCTTTCTATTTTGTATAAGTTATTTGATTATTTATTAATAAGCTAGACCTTGGTATAAACAATACTTACGATTCCCTGCAAGTATTGAAACTTGATCTTAATAGTTTTACATTCAATCGCCAA